CACCCCAAATAACCTCTCCACCTCTTTTCTGTTGAATCCATGTAACGTGAAGCACTCTTCACTTGTATTCATTCAGTTCATTTCCTAACTCTGAAACCACAGACCTGGACTCATTGTAGGGACTCAAGTTTACAGATGCATTGCCCAATTCACCAGTGGGTCAAGAGGGGAGGTTGATACCGGCCATTAGGGGAAAAAATAATGATGGGACAGAAAAAGCAGTAAGTTTCAAAACTTTTTGTTTGAAAAACAAAATCAAGAAGATAGGAAGCGCTTTATTTTATTCTTGACATGGATTTTCTTCTTTTTCCAGCTTCTAGAATAACCAGAAAAGAATTATCCTCATTCATTTGACCAGAATTTATTGAGTCTGTTATGCAGAGTTTTAAGGTGTTAGGGAGCAACTGCACAGACTCAACATGAGAAACTTACTGAATGAATGAAAATGCCATTCACAAAATGTCATCTATAATTTTATATTTTAAAGAAATAAATATTTGACATAAGTCAGAGAGATGAGCAGGAAGGAGCGCCAGTTCTTAGCACTCATGGACACCAGACTGTAATGGTTGTGCCTGTGCTTGGGAAGGTCCTAAAAGAGAGAAGTTGTTTTTATCAAAATGAGATGTATTTATCTAAATGCTGATGTAAAATCAGTTGTAAATATGATATATTTTGTTTTGCTGTAGCAAAACAGATATGATAGCAGCTTTTGTGCATAAATTAAAGTTGCCCTTAGCTAGAATAAATCATTCTTATTGACATTAGCAGCTGTGTAGTCAGTAAAGAATTATTGTTGCTATTACTTGGTGGTATTTATAAACACTTTTATTTTCCAAGTGCTTTACAATCACTTATTGTCTAATTAATATCTAATCATCTGTTTACAAGTAATAATCATGCATGTAGAGCAGTTTAATCAAAACTCCAAATGCAGCCACCATCATACTTGAGAATGTTATGTAAATTTTGGTCCCTCCTTGATGGGGCTTGGGTCCAGACATATGGCCAAAACAGATAATACAGCAGAAAAAAATGAATAAAGATTCCTCACTTGGATTTGAGCATAATTTGGAATCACAGCTTTTTGCATGCCAAATATATTATCTGAATGTCAGCGGGTAAGAATATAGGTAATTTTCAATGCTTAATGGCTCAATTACACAGTTATATAAAATTTTTTATTTAAGGTGCAAAATTGGATGATAGTTTATAATACACGCTCAAGGGCAGGCACCAATTTAACATGGGAACAGTTGGTCAATTACTATTTCAGTGATTTTCAGGAAAAGAGGTCAAATGTAGCAAAGGTGGCTTAGGGACCTTCAAGGTTAATCTATCCAGGTTTATGTGTAGACCAAGCTATGGCCAGTACAAACCCCTGCCATTCTTAATTATCCACTGTATGTGGATGTACTGCTGTCTCCCTTGGGTCTCCCCAAGTGTTAGTCTATAAGCAATTATAGGAACCATGAAAGCATTTTTTAAGCAGATGAATGATATGCATACTAATCCAGCCTTTTTTCCCTAGGATAAATTTTCCTACAGGTCAAATTGCTGAGTCAGAGGACTTGCATTTTTAAGGTTTTATATACATTTTTTGGGTTACTTTATCGAGTTGTCCTGCAGAATATGACACTATTTGTCCTCCAAATCAACACTTCTGATAATCCCCAAGAGGTATCTTTCTTGGTTATTGATCTGCCATTACCAGTCTTCTTCCTTCTTGCTTTCTCAGTAGACATAGTTTCCCAGTACTGCAGCAAATACTGCAGGGTCCTGAGGATTGTGCCAGGGGCCTTCTGGATGTGCTACAAATGTACTCGACTGGCAAGGGAGGCATCAAGACCATCTGATGTCAAGATGGATAAATTCATTCACAAGTAAACTATTGTTATACTCCTTAGACTTTATACTAATTCATTTGAATAGCCTGGACTCCAAAGTGAAATTTTCATCTTGCGAACTCTGTGTTCGGTATCTTTGAATGCTCAAAGAGAGATTTGGTTTAACCTTTGGCATTAGTTTCTTATTGCTGTTATAACAATTTACCACAAATACAGTGGCTTAAAACACCACAAATTTATCATATTAAAGTTCTTAAAATTGCCATAGGCGATTTAAAGTGCCTATACTTAGTGGGCGAAAGCCAATATATCAGCAAGACTGCCTTTCTCCAGGAGCCTCCAGAGGTGACTTTTTCCAGCATCTAGAACTGCCAGCATTACTTGGCTCACAGCCCTCTTCCTTCCATCTCAAAAACAGAAGTTGCACCCCTCCAGCCTCTGCTTCATTAGTCACATCTCTTAACTTTCCTGCCTGCCTTTTTCCCTTGAAAAGACCCCTGGGGGACTTCCCTGGCAGACCAGCGGTTGAGAATCCGCCTGCCATTGCAGGGGATGCAGAGAAACAGGCTCCTACATGCCTTGATGCAACTAAGCCTGTATACCACAGCTACTGAGCCCTTGCCATCTGAAGCATGGCAACTAGAGAGAAGCCCATGCACCCCAAAGAAGAGCCCGCAGGCCACAAGGAAGATCCAAGTGCCACAACTAAGACACATTATTCCCTTCACAAGACCTTTAACCTAATTACATCTGTAAAATCCCTTTTGCCATTAAAAATGACACATTTCCCAGGTTCTGGGAATTAGGATGTGGCCATCCTGAGGGGGAGGGTACATCATTCTGCCTATTACACCTTCCTTAGCATGAGCTGGACCTGGTATCTCATCTCCAGATATTGGAACAATACATTGCCTGTAATTTTAATACTTAGTAATTTATGAAACTGTGATCCGTGTCAGGCATAGACACTATACCAGGCTTGCAGGAAAGAATCAATGATTAGAAGGGTTTTGTAGTTTGTCCAAAGTCATGGAGCCAGACAATGGCAGAGTGGAGTTTCAAACTCAGGTCTGCTGGACTTCAAAGCCCCTCCTCACCACGTGCTTCCTCTGTAGATCATTTCCCATGCTCTGCTTGGTTCTCTCTCTTTGGCTAGCCTTCTGGTTGAAAGCTTTTCATTTAGTTTGACATTAAATGGTACAACCTAGCTAGATAAAACCTTTTATTAGGCTCCTATAAATCTCCTATTGGACTCATTCAGTAGGTGCCAGTGGAGGATGTCATCTTGAAACACTCATTCAAGTTGATGTCTTCACATCTTCTAATAAATCTTCAAAAAAGTGGCATCAGATGGGCTTTTCCTCCATCATACAAGCAGAAGTGGACCTCCCAGGTTATCTTCTGTGAGTTAAAGTAAATCTCTGAATAACATCAGGTGGTGCTGGTGAAAACTGATCATTCCAAAGGCCCCCAAGTATCAATATACCAAATATTTTATTCTTGAAAACAGACAGCCTAACACTTTAGGGGGTACAAATTCATGTCTTAATAAAGTTTCTCACCATCTCCACTTCACTCCACAAGGTTCTCAGCCTTGGCTGTACATCAGAATTACCAGCAGACCGGGAGAGGGAGGTTTTCAAATCCTGAGGCTGTATTCCCACTCCCTAGATATTCTGGCCTACTTGGTCTGTGACACAGTATCAGAACTTTTAAAGATACAAAACCAAAAAAAAAAAAAAATGCTGAGAACCACTATGGTGAGACACTTAACTAAGACACGGGTTTTGACTCCCAAACTGTCTAGGCCTTCTTTTTTCCAAGACTCTCTATTTTGTTTGCATTGAAAGAAATAAGCCCTATTAGTGTATGTGTCCCAAGAAGCTGGCTATGTTCAAACCTTCCTTATGTCTAAAAGCAATCATTTTAAACCTAATATTTTTAAGTGCCAGAGGAGAGGTTATATCGAATGACTCACTAATAGAGCTTGAGAGAACTATATACACAGAAGCCCATCCTTGCTGTAAGAAGAAATTCTCTTGAGTAAGCAAGTAAGCAAATATGGGATAAACACTTTCAAAGAAAAATAATCCTTTATTTCTGCAAAATAGTCTTAACCTCACCACACCATTCAACCATAAGAACTGAAAAGAAGCAAAACTATTAGCATTAAACCATGGCAGTCCCTAGCACAAATAATACCACCATTGCTCAAAGCATTTTTGAAGTAATTCTTTTGAAATTTTCGTCATGGCAGTTTTATTAGGCCACTTATGAAAAGCAGTTACTATATGGGACTTTTTGGATCCAAAAAGGTATTAAACAGATTCATCATTCACCTATAAAACTATCAGTCAACTGACTTCTGGTTGTTTAAAAAATATCAGAAATAGCTCTCGATGACTGTGCCCTCTGTTGATAACCCATAAAAACAGAAGGGTGGTCTTCTCTAGCAAAAAATTTCTGAAGGGCCAGGGATCTTAAGTGAGGAAGCTAGACTCTGAAGTCAATTCTTGTAGAGCAGAGGTACTCAAACTTTAATATGCATATAAATAACCTGGAAAGTGAAAGCTACTCGGTGGTGTCCGACTCTTAGAGACCCCATGGACTATACAGTCCATGGAATTCGCCAGGCCAGAATACTGGAGTGAGTAGCCGTTCCCTTCTTCAGCGGATCTTCCCAACCCAAGGATCGAACCCACATCTCCTGCATTGCAGGCAGATTCTTTACCAGCTGAGCTACCAGGGAAGCCCAAGAATACTGGAGTGGGTAGCCTATCCTTTCTCTAGGGGATCTTCCAGACCCAGGAATCAAACTGGGGTCTCCTGTTTTATAGGCAGATTCTTTGCCAGCTGACCTCCCAGAGAAGCTCCCCCCCCTCCCCAAATCACCTGGAAAACCTGTTAAACAACAGTTTGCTGGGCCCTGTTCCCAGAGATTCTAATTCAGTCGCCCTGGGTAGGGGCCATCCATTTAATGTTCCATCAACTCTCAGGTGCTGCCTGAGGCCCACACTTTAAAACTGTTGTACGGTGAAACTGTGAAGATAAATACACTCATGTGAACATGTAATTTCTATTATCCTTTTTTAAACAATAGAAATTACCGAAAGGACTCAGGAGCCAACTTGGGAACACTCCTGCCAATCAAAGATGAAGTGGTAAGAATTCAAAGAGTGAGAACTGCAATGGATTGAAATCCACCAAATATGTTTAAATCAATGAGTTAATACTACCAAAAAAAAACCCCTAGACAAACCCAAAACCTCAGTTGTCAGCGTTGGAAAAATACAAGGGAATAAATGCACTATTTTGAAAACTGAGAACTAGAAGGAAAGAATTAAGCATGTATCTTATCTTTCCTCTACAAACTGTACCTTTGGGTGATCACTTAGTAAGGAAGAAGTATATCATCGTAGAATGAATAATGAAGAAGGTATGAGGGTAATGAAGACAGTAATGAGAGGAGGCCTATTTTGTAATGCCAAGTGAATGACTAGATCATCGAGCATCAACAACTGGTAACATGACAAAAAGACAGACAATCCCAAATGTTATATACTCTTGATAGCACGTGTACCACCTATGAAGCAGTTTCCCAAATAAATAAAAGCTGCCCTTGACTACACCTCTGGATCCAAGACAACAGTGTTTGGACAAAACAGACCCGGGTGGACGCTTCGACCACCCTCCAACCTCTTTTCCAGTCACAACCTTCAGAATCAGCCCAACCACCCTCAGCCCCTGGGATCAGCCAACGCCATTTTTCGAGCTTAGCACCTTATTACAGACTAACCACAACCTCCCAGATTCGTTGCAATGATTCCACCGAGGTGGAGGCCCCATCCACTGCCTAGTCACCCTGCATCTGCAGGCCTCGTGCATCAACCTCTCTGGGCTTCTGTTTCCACCGCGACCATGTGGAGCACGGTGGCCTCTTTGTCCTCGAACTGGCCCAGAAGAAGGGCGACGGGACCCAGCGTTTCTTAAAAATGCAAGACCAGCGCGGAGGCCGCACCCTCTCCCAGCACCTCAGGCGCATCTCAGGCTGAGTGGGGTCAAGCCCAGGACGCCGCGGAGGCCACTGAGCTTGGGGACAAGCATCCGAACCAGGCCGTCATGGACCTGCAAGCCCGGGGCTCTTCCCGCGCAGCCCCCACCTCCGTCACTTCCGGGAGAGCCGCGTCCTAGGTGAGCAGCTGAAACTCGTCAGGAAGATGGGCGACCACCTGACCGACCTCCGCAGGCTGGCTGGTCTCTTCAAAAGGCTCACCCGCAAGCACAACCAGGAGCCGCCTGGACCCAGCGGGCTTGAAGGAGCCCCTCTGGCGTCAGGGCTTCTGCCTGAAGTGTTAAGGGAAACACTGACAGAAACCACCCACCCTGACCAGGCACCATAGAAACTATTTGTGTGAGTTATTTTATGACAGGAGGTTCTCTCAGGGAACAGGGAACTAACAAGCCGCCACCAACTGGGAGAATTTGAGAAAGGTCAAAGGGAGACGCCACAGGTCCTACCAGCCACCCAGAATCCTCCTCACTGGCATCCATCCTGGCTGAGCGATGCACAAGCCACTAGGAAGGACCCTGAGTCAGATATTGGCCAGAGACAACCCAAAACTAACCCCATCATCATAAAACCCAAGACTGTGAGTCAGGTGGCAGAGCAGTCCTCCTGGGTTTTCTTACCCTCTTGTCCTCCCCTCCAGGTGTCCCTTTCTAATAAAGTCTCTTGCTTGTCAGCAGATGTGTCTCCGCGGAGAATTCATTTCCAAGTGTTAGACAAGAACCCCCTTTCCTGCAACAGAAGGCCCCTCTCAGAAGCCCCTAGGCAGCTTTTCAATCACTCTGGAGCCCTTACACACACCTTGGACCAAATTGAAAACAATAAAACTTTTTTTTGCAGCAGAAAAGAAAAAAAATGAAAGAAATCAATCTAGAAGATATCACAATCAATTGCAATATATGGACTATATTTTTAGGATCCTAATTCAAAACACTAAAAAAATTACAATGTTTATGAAATAACATTGATTCTTTTTATTATACATATGTCACCTCTTTTTTGGATTTGCTTCCCATTTAGGTCAGCACAGAGCACTGAATAGAGTTTCCCGAGCTATACAGTAGGTTCTCATTTGATCATTATTGAAGCTAGATGAGAAGTACATGAACACGACAAATGGGAAGTGACTGCTTTGTCTAATTTTGCATATGTTTGAAATTTTCCATAATAAAGTATTTTTTGGAAAGTTAAAATTTGGTCACTGTTTATTAGTTGTCTAGCACTTTAAGTGCCTATACTAAAGCAATGTATATAAATGCACAAAGTTTGCCATCAGACTTCTAGCTTCACTGCTAAATTACAAATTGTGTGTTCTTCAGTAAATGACCTAACATCTTTCAGCCTCAGTTTCCTCACCGATAAAGTAAAGCTAATTACATCCCTGAAGGTTTTGTATAGAATAAATATAAGTAAAGTGTTTAGCTGAGTGCCTTAGATAAACACCTTTTTTAGACTTCCTTCCTTTGTTTTTTTGTCTGCTACTTTTCAATACAGAAATGCAAGGAGCCCTTCTTGTCACCTCGACAAGTAATATTGACTCAGTCAATTTCTTTCCACATTATTCCCTGGAAAATGTAGACAGCCTGGTATGTTTGTTTCCAAGGGTTTAAAACAGCAAGCAAACCCTGGAGAGATCCAGGGAATGAGGAGTGAGAAAGAACATATATAGTTAACTCAGTTTTTGGTCAAGGGTGGTTTTGTCCCAAAAGGGATATTTAACAATGTCTAAAGACCAACTGTGAAAAATTCTTCAAGAGATGGGAATACCAGACCACCTGACCTGCCTCATGAGAAATCTGTATGCAGGTCAGGAAGCAACAGTTAGAATTGGACATGGAACAACACACTGGTTCCAAATAGGAAAAGGAGTACATCAAGGCTGTATATTGTCACCATGCTTATTTAACTTATATGCAGAGTACATCATGAGAAACGCTGGGCTGGAGGAAGCACAAGCCGGAATCAAGATTGCCGGGAGAAATATCAATAACTTCAGATATGCAGATGACACCACCCTTATGGCAGAGAGTNAGCTACAGATAGTAAAGATGATGATGACATTGATCTCTTTGGATCTGATGATGAGGAGGAAAGTGAAGAAGCCAAGAGGCTAAGAGAAGAACGCCTTGCCCAGTATGAGTCAAAGAAAGCCAAAAAACCAGCACTTGTCGCCAAGTCTTCCATCTTATTAGACGTGAAACCTTGGGATGATGAGACCGATATGACAAAACTAGAGGAGTGCGTCAGAAGCATTCAAGCAGACGGCTTGGTCTGGGATTCTTCTAAACTAGTTCCGGTTGGGTATGGCATTAAAAAACTTCAAATACAGTGTGTAGCTGAAGACGACAAAGTTGGGACAGACATGCTGGAGGAGCAGATCACTGCTTTCAATGAAGAAAAGAAGGAGATGCAGACATAGAGAATGTGGACACAGCAGGGGAAGAAGCATCAAGGAGAAACTGAGAAAGCAGCGGTGATGTATATACACTATCATGTGTAAAACATATAAGCAGCAAGCTGCTCTATGACACAGGGAGCCAGCCTGGCACTGTATGATGACATAGAGAGATGGAATGGTGGGGGGAGGGAGGCTCCAGAGAGAGGGGCTATATATATAACTGTGACTGATTCACACTGATGTACAGTGAGGCCACTACAACATTGTAAAGATATTATTTCTCTAATAATAATAATAAAAGACTTCTAAAAAAAAAAAGAAAGAAAGCTGAGCGCCAAATAATTGATGCTTTTGAACTGTAGTATTGGAGAAGACTCCTGAGAGTCCCTGGAGTGCAAGGAGATCCAACCAGTCCATCCTAAAGGAAATCAGTCCTGAATATTCATTTGAAGGACTGATCCTGAAGCTGATACTCCAGTATGTTGGCCACCTGATGTGAAGAACCAACTCATTGGAAAAGACCCTGATGCTGGGAAAGATTGAAGGCGGGAGGAGAAGGGGACGACAGAGGGTGAGATGGTTAGATGGCATCACCGACTCAATGGACGTGAGTTTGAGTAAACTCCGGGAGTTGGTAATGGACAGGGAGGCCTGGCGTGCTGCAGTCCACGGGGCTGGAAACAGTCAGACACGACTGAGCGACTTAACTGAGAGATAGTTTTGGTTGTCACAAGCTGGGTGGAGGGGTGCTATTGGCATCTACTGGTTAGAGACCAGAGATGCTGCTAAGCATCCTACTGTATGCACAGGGTTGCTCCCCATAACAAATAATTATCTGGCCCAAGATACCAGCAGTACCAAGGCTGAGAAACCCTGGGCTAATGTGACTAAAACTCCTTGATGAAGCTTTTCCTAGATAATTAACTTTGCTTGTCTTTGTTCGTCTTATCTGACGCATACAGGTTATTAAAGGCATGCTCAGGAGAAATCATTCAAGATGTGATTACTCTATCTCTGTGGCCCTAATTTGTTATTCATTTCCTTATGAGAAAAAAAATCTGAGTAGTGTTCTGATTTTATTGCCTTTGAGTTTCAAAGAGCAAACTTGAAGCATGCACTGATTACCTTCTTAATTAATAGACTGCGAAGGCAGGGCATCACTTTATTAACTAGTGGGAAGGATGTACTATCTCCCAACAACTCTGTAGTCTTTACTCCCCACTGTTATGCCACTGGGGGAAGATTGAGATGAAGAAGTTTCAGACTGCTCCCCAAACAGATATATTTCTCTTGTTAAAATGGCCCATTTCAGTGTAGATGACACCTTCCTACCAAGACATTATTAAATAGAATCATCCCCTTTCTAAAGTCAAAATACTTGAGGTCAAGACCACAGTACCACAGGTGCTGAAGGAAAGAGGTAAATGGTGGTAGCTGTGTATTTAACTGGCAAGCAATAGTCAGGCTATTTCTGTGAGAGATGTTTTAGGGGGCAGTTGTTTAGCAGCTTCAGTCATATCTGACTCTTTGCAACTGACTGTAGCCCACCAGGCTCCTCTGTCCATAGGATTTCCCAGGCAAGAATACTGAAATGGGTTGTCATTTTCTCCTCCAGGGGATCTTTCCAACCCAGGGATCAAACCCACATCTCCTGCATTGGCAGGTAGATTCTTTACCACTGCACCACCTGGGAAGCCCTTTAGGGGGCAGGGAGTGGGGTAAAAATCTTTGAGAAGAAAAAACATCGGGGCAAATCCGGACAGGTGGTGGAATGGCTTAAGGATCTATGATGTGGTTCCTATTTCTTTATTTCTACCTCACCCCACCCCATCCATTCTCTGAAAACTGCCCCACCCCACAGCCTAGGGAATTGGGTTAGGACACCCAATTAAGAGAGACAAGCCAGGCCTATTCAGTGGTTTCTCAGATCCTCAGATTCCCTCTTTCAGGAATTAGAACTAAGAGACAGAGGCTGAGTGGGTCTGGAACTGAGTTGTAGGCAGTATGTCCACAGATGACTCTTGAGGACAGGAACCAGTGTAGCTTGAGAAGCCCTCAGGGGTTATCTGTGGACATACTGCCTACAACTGAGCTCTAACCATCTATGTCTGAGACAGATGTGTCCACATCCCTACCAAGAGATGAGACTAACATGAGAAATGAAGCTGAGAGCTGTCTACAGGGAAAGGCCACTTAAACATTTGAGCTCCATGCCCAGGAGGGTCAAAGTGATGACACTCTGTCCTAGAGACCAGTTCACAGTAAATTCCCTTTTTCAGAAATCCTCTAAGTATTTCTAGATATACACTTCTAATACTTTCAGATTTAGTCTTACAACTGTTTTGTGTTATATTGAATTATTGTTTATCTAATCTTGTTAGCTAATTCTCATTTGTAACTTTTATACTTATGTCTCATTTTGTCAATTAACTTACCAACTGGACTTGGGAAGATCAGTTCCTACTCTCAGGGTCCATCCACTTTCTTACATCATCCTCAACCCACTCAGACTGGCTTCCACCACTCCACTAAAACTGAATTATGTTTCTATGTGTTTCTTAGGTGCACAGAAAGATCTTTCCAAGCAGCAGATCTTGATTAGGAGAGATTTCGTCTCCTCATCCCCAAGGGGATTTTGCAGTGTCTGTCTTGATAGTCAGAAGTTGGAGGGCGCTACTAGCATCTGATGGGTAGAAACCAGAGATGCTGCTAAACATACTACAATGCACAGGAAAATCCCACACAATTATCCATCCCCTAAATGTCAATAATGCCAAAGCTGAGAAACCTTCAGTTCAGTTCAGTTGCTAAGTCGTGTCCAACTCTTTGTGACCCCATGGACTGTAGCACACCAGGCCTCCCTGTCCATCACCAACTCCCAGAGTTTACCCAAACTCACGTCCTTTGAGTTGGTGATGCCATCCAACCATCTCATCCTCTGTTGTCCCCTTCTCCTCCCACCTTCAATCTTTCCCAGCATCAGGGTCTTTTCAAATGAGTCAGTTCTTCACATCAGATAGCCAAAGTATTGGAGTTTCAGCATCAGTCCTTCCAATGAATATTCAGGACTGATTTTCTTTAGGATGGATTGAGAAACCTTGCTTTAGGGCAAAGAAGTGTCTTTGAGACATAATAACACAATTCAAAATGGGCAACAAATTTGAATAGACATTTCTCCAAAGAAGATATACAAATGGTCAATGAATGAGTTAAAAAATGCTCAACATCATTAGCCATTAGGGAAATGCAAATCAAATCCCCAAGGAGATGCCACTTCACACACACTAGAAAGGGTGTAATTTTTTTCAATGGAAAATAACAAGAATTGGTGAGTACATAGAGAAATTGGAACCCTCACACATTGATGGTGGGAATGTAAAATTGTGCAGCCTCTTTGGGAAACAAAGTTTGAAAGTTCGTCAAAAAGTTAAACGTCAAGTTACCACTTAAATTACCAATTCCACTCCTAAGAGAATTGAAAATATATGTCCACAAAAAAATGTGTACGTGAATGTCACAGCAGCATTAATCACTTTAACCAAGACGAGAGGACACCCATATGTCCTTAGATGATGAATGGAGAAACAAATGGTGGTGTATTCATACAGTGGAATATTATTTGGCCACAAAAAGAATGGAGTACCAATTTACGCTACAACACGACTAAATCTTGAAAACATGTGCTAAGTGAAAGAAACCAGAAACAAAAAAACACACATATTGTATGATTTCATTTATCTGTAAAGTCCAGAACAGGTAAATCCATAGGACAGAAAATAGATTCATGGTTGCCTGGTGCTGGCGATATGCCAAGGGAATGGAGAGTGACTGCTAATAAATACAGGGTTTCTTTTGGGGGGATGACGAAAGTGTTCTAAAATTAAATTGTGTTCATGGTTATAGGACCCTGTGAATATGCTTTAAAAAATTGACTTCTATACTTTAAAATGTGAATCATATCTTTGAAAGAATGTCTCTTTCTCTCTCTGGAGGGCCTACCCCAAAGTAGGTACTCATTAAATAAGGCAGTACATCTGAGACATGGAAGACAAAAAGATTTCTTTCCTGCTCTGATCACCAATATATTAACATTTTTTTTTTTGCCCAAAGAGGAACAGTAGTGGACTTCCCTGATGACCCAGTGGTGAAGACTCTGCCTGCCAGTGCAGGAGACATGGGTTCTATCCCTGGTCTGGGAAGACCATATGCCCACATGCTGCAGGGCAACTGAGCCCATGTGCCTCAACTACTGAGCCTGAGCTCTGCAGCCCGGAAGCCGCAAATACTGAAGCCCGTGAGCCTAGAGCCAGTGCTCCACAACATGTGAAGCCCCCCACAATGAAGCCACAGCTAGAGAGCAGCCCCCTCTCACTGCAACTAGCGAAAGCCAGCACACAGCAGTGAAGATCCAGTGCAACCATAGTTAAAGAAAGAAAGAATTTTTAAAAAAGAGTTACCTAAATTTTCCCCAAAATCTATTTATGCCAATTGTACTTGTGATTGGAAAGATACCAGTTAATTAAATGCTATGTAAATGGATAAAATGATGAGAAAAAGGTGCTTTTAAAAAAAAGAAACTAAGTTGTTTTATAAAGAAAAGATAGTCATGGGATTTTTTTAATTGTTATTAAATTAGGCGAGAACAAGACTACTGTAAAAGATAGGGACAAAATTCCCCCAAATCTAGGATTCCACACGCAGAGTGTTTTCAGAGTATCTCAACTTTTCACTTCATTTACAATTCACCAAAAATGGAAACCAGAGACATTGCCTATATGTATGCCTGCACAGTGGTAAAGAATCTGCCTGCCCCCCTCCCCCCAAAAAAAAGAATCTGCCTGCCAATGCAGGAGACTGGGTTAGATCCCTGGGTGGGGAAGATCCCCTGGAGCAAGAAATGGCAACCCACTCCAGTATTCTTGCCTGGAAAATTCCAAGGACAGAGATTGGCAGGCTGTAGTCCATGGGGTCGCAAAGAGTTGGGCATGACTCAGCGACTAAGTATGCATGCAATGAAGAAAACATAGAGCTCTAATCAGTGGCCCAATTAAAACATCAACAAATTAATACCATATTTATTTTAAATTTACATAAAATATTTAGTGTATATATTTATCATTTTTAAAAACAAGTCTCCATTTTAACCATTTTATTTTTTAGATAATCAACCTACTGGTCTGTACTGTACAGGGAAAGAAGTCTTCTGTGCTTCCTGGTGATTGTAACTCTCTCCTACCTCATATAATGAAGAAAACCCTACAAAACTCTTTGATTAATGTTCCATTTTCGTCTTGAATTCCATGTGTGATATTTAAGAAAATCCTTCAATTGTCATCCTAAGGAAAAGTGTGATAGTCACATGGAAAAGCATTTATGAGGCAAATCTGTGTACAAGTCTTAGCCGTCTCTCGAAGGCTTATCCAACTATGCCCATCTCTGGACAACTGAGAAAGTTGTGGAGAGTGAGTCTGCCATCTTTGCTATCTCTAAGCAGGTCCCACCTGGACTTCAGATATCACAAACCTCTAGCAACCCTAGGAGTCTGGCAGGATTTAGCGTGGAGGACCTTGAAAACAGCTTCCCAGGTGACGCTAGTGGTAAAGAACCTGCCTGCCAATGAAGGAGACGGAAGAGACTCGGGTTTGATTCCTGGGTCCGGAAGATCCCTTGGAGGAGGAAAGGGCAACCCACTCCAATATTCTTGCCTGGAGAATCCCATGGACAGAGGAACCTAGCAGGCTACAGTTCATAGGGTTGCAAAGAGTCAGACACCACTGGAGCAACTTAGCACACATGCATGCCTTGTAAACAGTGATCATGTCTTTGTTGCTGTTGTTATTGATAATGTCAATCAATTTAGAGGCTGGGGTCAAGTTGAAGTTGGTTCACCCAACACTCATCTATGATTCAAAGGCTGAGTTGAAATTCACTCATTCTCCTAGATGACCCTAGGTGGACAAATTGAGAACTCTCCCTGGACAAGAAGGATACAGAATAAACAGCAATTTACATTTCTTTCACTCATTCAACAAACATTTACAAAGCATCTACAGTATGTCAGGAGCCAGGTATCTAAGATAAATGTGATAGCCTCTACTCTCAAAGAATATAGAGCAAAAAATATACATGTAGGGCAAAAGAAGAAGAAGTGAATTTGCTTAGTCGTGTCCGACTCTTTCCAACCCCATGGACTGTAGCCTACCAGGCTCCTCAGTCCATGGAATTTTTCAGGCAAGAGCACCGGAGTGGGTTGCCATTTCCTTCTCCAGGGGATCTTCCTGACCCAGGGATCGAACCTGTCTCTCCCGCATTCCAGGCAGATGCTTTACTGTCTGAGCCACCAGGGAAGCCCAGAGTTTTTTTGAAGGGCAAATTTTTTTTTTTTTTACTGCATCATGCAGCTTGTGAGATCTTAGTTCCCTGACCAGAGATGGAACCCGTGTCCCATCCAGAGGAAGCATAGAGTCCTAACCACTGGACCACCAGAGAATCCCCCTCCCTTTTTAGGGCAAACTCTTAAAAGATTGAGGTTTTTTAGTAAATATGATGGTATAGTTAAAAATTCTAATCACACTAGTTTTTGTTTTCAAAATAATTATTTAAATGCTTCTATATTTTTTATCTCCACCTTAATGGAATGAGCCTGAAGCTGAAGCTCTAATATTTTGACCACCTGACGTGAAGAGCCAACTCAGTGGAAAAGACGCTGTTGCTGGGAAAGATTGGAGGTAGGAAGAGAAGGGGACGATAGAGGATGAGATGGTTGGATGACATCACCGACTCAGTGGACATGAGTTTGAGCAGCTCCAGGAGATGGTGGAGGACAGAGGAGTCTGGTGTGCTGCAGTCCATGGGGTCACAGAGAGTCGGACACGACTGAGCAACTGAACTGAACTGAACTGAACTGAAGGTTTCTCAACTTTGGCATTATTGACATTTAGTGACTGAACAACAACAATGGAATGAGGAAGACAGATTTGAAACATGTTTCCTTTTTGTCCTGGGTCATCCTTTCCAATTTCTAAAATTCCTTTTTCTCTATATGGTGTAGGTGTGTGTGTGAGGGAGAGACAGACAGAGACAGAGAGAGACAAAGTGGTAGGGGGGTGATTTATAGTTTTTGAAAAGATGGAGAACTTAAAAAAATGTCCTAATACCTGGGGCAAGATTGAAATAAATATGTTTTCACATTATGAAGTCTCATTGTGAGCATGGGGCAAGATTAATTTTAGGCCAGTTCTTGTATATTCTTTACTCCATGGTATTTGAAAGCTGGCTTCAAGTCTCTCAGAAGAAAAGATTAAAAAAAAACAACAACCCAGTAAGATTCCTTTTCTCCCCATAGTTTCCAGCCTAGGAAGACCAAGGGAACCCCAGGTTTCACACACCCCCAAGTCCAGCCTCTTACTCCCATCTTTTTTGTGTGCGAATTGAGCCGTTGAGGTGAGCCTGTGAGAGTGCCCAGATGCTTGACAGTCAAGGCTTGCTTTAGCGGACCGCAGTGAGTGGGACTCAACAGTTCAGACAGAGACTTTAGTGTCTTCAAGAGATTTGGATTCAATTGTATCAGGAATGGAGCATGTGCTCCACCTGTCAACTTTCAGAGGAAGAACAATCAATCAACACAGTAGCCTGTAGCAGTGATGACACACCTGTTAATTGGGTTTGGAGGACATGTGTCCAGTGGATCAGTCTCCCACACAGTTTGCAAAGGAGACAAAGACTGTTGAGTTGGCTGAAGGCTGTGCAAATCAATACCTGTTCCTGTAATATTAGGATTCACGTGCCGAAATTACAGAGGAATGAGAAGAAAAAGGCCTAATTGTGTTTTGGAACAAAAAGTGAAAAAGTACTATCTACTTTCCCTTTAAGTAAGTGGCTTAAAAAAATGTTCAGATAGTTGTGGTGGTTTTCTTTTTGGCACTTGTGCTGAACTTTCAATGGTTCCGACTCTGCTACAGATATTATACAGAAGCTGCCAAAGGTTTAATGGCAATGAGATCTCTTTCCAGCCTTTCCTGAATCAGAGATTTGCTCTCAAAGGTGGCAGAAAAAAATGTTCAGATAACTAAACTTCAGAAATGTGGAGAGTTCTAAATTATTTAATTTCCTTCAAATAAAGACCAAATATGGGACTTTCCTAGTGGTTCAGTGGCTGGGACTCTGTATTCCCAGTGCAAGGGGCCCTGGATCCATACCTGTTTGGGGAACTAGACCCCACATGCCACAACTAAGAACCTGCATGCTGAAACTAAGATCCAGTGTGACCAAATTAAAAATAATAATAATAAAATAAATTTTAAAAAAAGACTAAATATTCAACATACAGTTATGTTGTTTCTATTAATTTTTCTTTCTTCTCTTATGGCCTACACATCAATCAACAGATTTTTCACAGAACCCCTACTATGTGCCAGGCTCTGTGAGTAGTCCATAGGTGCAAGCCCCCTAGGAAGTCCTGGGATACAGTGCAAGAAGTAAGGGCTTTGGAATTAGATCTTGAGCTAATAAAAATTTCAGGGTGAAAGTATTTTATGCTACTGCCTTAAGTCTTTTATGCTACTGACTTAATGATCCAGAGGAAGAGAGGATGGTAAATCATTAGCATAAAATGACTTTACACAGAATTTTGGAATAGCAGAAAGAACTAGGCTAACCATGTTATTTCCTACCAGGGTACTGTAGGGGATCCCGGTTTTAATGAATAAATAAAAATGATATGTAATTATTGTATCAATTGCTTGTATCTAAGTGAGTGCTTCTGGAGTTACTTGATGATGCTTAAAAATCTTTGGTCTCTGAAGTGTATAATGTCTCCTTGACTCTTATCTATATTATTAATTTGCAGATCAAAGTTAACTTGGTGCTATGCAAATGAAAAAACTTCACAGGAAAATTTTAAATCCATATAATTTATAACAGAATTGCAATATATTTTGAGGAAATGTGTCAACGTATCTAAAAGAGACATTATGACTTGAAGCAGCACTATGTGATAGAACTTTCTGAAGTGATGGAATATTCTGTATCTGCAGTGTCTCAATAAGGTTGCCACTAGCTCCCTGTGACTACTGAGCACTTGAAATGTGGCTAGTACAAGTGAGAAAGTAAACGTTACATTTTTGGTTAGTGGCTACCTTATTTGTTGGTATAGGTTTAAAGAAACAGTGAAACTGGATCCCAAGAATCTGAACTCCAGCCCTCTCCTTTTTACCTTGGACAATTCATTTAACCTCTCTGAGCCTCAGTTTTCACTTGAAAATGAGAATATAAATAATATCTACCTCATAGCATTTGGGGTAAGAGGTACTGAGATAATGTTCAGGTATTCTCTTACTTCCAGAATAAGTGTCAATCGACTACTAAAGTTAAATATGTGGAAAGTGAATAACTCTTTCATATAAAGGGAGTTTCCATTCTTGGAGAGATTAAAAATGCAGTTGACCTTTGAACAATATGGGTTTGAACTGTGTGGGTCCACTTATTGTTTTCAACAGTAAATACTATAGTAATGCACCACCTGTGGTTGGTTTCATCCTTTAGGGCAGATAAGTTACATACTTGGATTTTCAACTGCACAGAGTTGACCTTCTAACCCTTGCATTGTTCAACGGTCAACTGTACTATTAAATTCATAATTATCCTCGCCATTCAGATACAATATGTAATGACAGTGCTTATAACTATTAACTGCAAGCAACACCATTAGCAATAGCCAGAAATGGTCATGGGTATCAATGTACAATGCCCAAAAGGGTTGGCAGTCAGAAAGCTAAATTTACAGAAACTGAGGTCAACTTCTGTATGGAAAATACATGGAGAACAGAAAAGCAGGATTAAAATGTTAATACAATCACTTTATTATTGCTATAATTAAAGATATAATTCTATTTGCTGGCCCAAAGAGGTTAAATAAACTTATTCCATTTAACTGGGAGAAGCTAAGGCACAAATGAGCACAATAGGCTAGTGGTTAGGAGATTGAATACTTTCACTGGATTTAATCAAGTGAAATAAGACATGAAAATTACTTAGGAAAGGATATGTATCTCCCCTCAAGAAAAGAGGTCAAGGTCAAGAAACAGCAGTTAGAACTGGATGTGGAACAACAGACTAATTCCAAATTGGGAAAGGAGTACGTCAAGGCTGTATATCATCACCTTGCTCATATAACTTATATGCAGAGTACATCATGTGAAATGCCAGGCTGGATAAATCACAAGCTGGAATCGAGATTGCCAGGAGAAATATCAATAACCTCAGATATGAACATGACACCACCCTTATGGCAGAAAGCGAAGAACTAAAGAGCCTTTTGAGGAAAGTGAAAGAGTTGAGTGAAAAAGCTGGTTTAAAACTCAACATTCAAAAAATGAAGTTCATGGGTCATGGCATCCAGTCCCATCCCTTCATGGCAAATAGGTGGGTAAATAATGGAAATAGTGATTGAATTTCTTTTCTTGGGCTCCAAAATCACTGCAGATGGTGACTGTAGCCATAATATTGAAAGAGGTTTGCTCCTTTGAAGAAAAGCTATGACAAACCTAGAAAGCATATTAAAAAGCAGAGACATTCTTTTACTGAAAAAGGCACACCTAGTCAAAGCTATGGTTTTTCCAGTAGTCATGTATGGATGTAAGAGTTGGACTATAAAGAAAGCTGAGCACCGAAGTATTGATGCTTTTGAACTGTGGTGTTGGAGAAGACTCTTGAGAGTCCCTTGGACTGCAAGGAGGTCAAATCAGTCCATCCTAAAGGAAATCAGTCCTGAATATTCATTGGAAGGACTGATGCTGAAGCTGAAACTCCAGTACTTTGGCCACCTNTTCATTGGAAGGACTGATGCTGAAGCTGAAACTCCAGTACTTTGGCCACCTGATTCGAAGAAATTACTTGTTGGAAAAGACCCTTGTGCTGGGAAAGACTGAAGGCAGGAGGACAAGGGGATGACAGAGGATGAGATGGTTGGATGGCATCACTGACTCAATGGACATGAGGTTGAGCAAGCTCTGGGAGCTGGTGATGGACAGGGAAGCCTGGCGTGCTGCAGGAGTCGGACACGACTGAGCAATTGAACTGAACTGAATGCCACCTATAAGAACTAAAAATGTCAGCTCTTATTACAATAATAAGTGACACTATTAGGAACTCCATGAGATTAGAAGCCTTTGGATATTTTTCAGTTCACAAGAGTTATGGGAGTACAGAGTGATGTTTGTACAGATTGAATTCTACATAACTGTACATAGAAAGATCAAATCAATTTTCCATGTCAGAATCAGTCAGGAACTGAATCTACTTGTTTTGATACCACTTGAAACCTATTTTTGGCATGAGGCATGAATGAGTGAATAAATGAATGAGTGACTAAAATGCCACCTGAGTCTCCCACAAACTCAATAAAATAAGCTGGTGAAATTCATGAGTCAACATACAAATTCATGAGTCAACACACAAATTTCTCCAAATCTGAGGTAATATGGAGGCAGAGGGGGAGGGGACCAATTGGGAGAAATGAGCTACCAGTCATTTAGTTCAAGTTCCTGGTGTGGCCCCAGATCACTTTCTGAGGCATATGATTCTTTAACCAGTCATCCACAGGCACTCCCAAGGGCATGGGAAAGTTTTGAAGGAGTACTAGGACAGGAAAGAGCAGGGCCAGTGTCTTAAGGCCAGAGAAACCACTCTCTGAGGAGTGGCGTGAAACCAGCTTTACTGTGAAGAGATTACATCATTGCTGATCCTCGTCTTTTCTTCACATTATCCAGAATCCTCCTTGTTTGTCTCACCACCTAAACTTTTGCCATCTATAACTCTTTTGGTTTATCAAGGCTCCACTAAAATGCACATTCCGCTAGGCACACCTCCTCCCTCCAAAAATAAAAGATTGTAGAAGGTAGTATCACTCACATGATAGTTACACTGTAAGGAATTCTGAAATGGATATTCAAATCAAGATTTTGTGACTTTTCTACTAGGAATGTGACACGATGCATGCATGCTTAGTCGTATTCAACACTTTGTGGTCTTTTGTACTGTAGACCGCCAAGCTCCTCTGTCCATGGCATTTCCCAGGCAAGAATACTGGAGGGGGTTGCCATTTCCTTCTCCAGGGGATCTTCCTGACCCAGGGACTGAACCCCATATCTCCTGTATCTCCTGCATTGCAGGCGGATTCTTTACCTGCTGAGCCATTGGGGGAAATTTTCTCATTTTATAGGATAATGAACATTTTCTTAAAATATTTCTATGGCACCCTCAGGCTCCCACAGCATCATTCTTGGCCTTGAATTCCCTACATTTTCTCACAGTGATTTGACCTTTAAAAAAATTTTTTTTAATTGAAGAATTTACAATGTTGTGCTAGTTTCATATGTACAGCAAAGTGATTCAGTTATATACACACACACACACACATACACATGTATTCTTTTTTAGATTCTTTTCCCTTATAGGTTATTACAAGACATTGAATATAGTTCCCTGTGCTATACGGTAGGTCCTTATTGCTTATCTGTTTTACATATAGTAATCTATTTGAACTTTTTTTAGGAGGAGAATTTGTTCCTGTCATTTACCTCTGTCTAGGGTGCTTGCATCCTCAGTCAGGGGATAAAGAACCATTAGCCAGAGATTTTTTTTTTTTAATCACCTTAAGATGGAAGGGATAATTTCTCTGTTTTACTTTCTTTTTGCTGCTCTCATGGCTGTGGGATCCTAGTTCTCCTCCCAGGGACTGAACCCGGGCCCTTGGCAGTGAAAGCACAGAGCCTTGATCACTGGACTGCTCAGGAATTCCCAATATTTCTCTTTAGAGTGTGATTTTATTAATTATCACAGGTTTGTTATACTCACAGATACATAGGACTTTACTTTTTGAACTCTGATAATCAAAGAGATACAAATCAGTAGGAAAGTGGGTACCTTACCTTGCGTCCCATTTGGGGAGTGCAATTATTCCTGGTATCCTCTTCCATGGTGCCAGCCTGGTGACCCACCATGTCTCCTCCTGGTCTGCTTCTGTTCTGTTTTAGGGTCCTTTCATTTTCTTTCTGTGGATTCACGGAAACAGTTAACCAAAGGTTAAGCTTAAAGATAAGCTGGAGGAGGTAGTCGTGTCCCAGAGCTTGAATTAGCGGAGATCCAGTTGCCAGGCGCTCTTCCTTTATTTACCACCAGCTTCCTGTTGTCCTCTCAGGGCTGTTGTTCACTGACAATTGCTGTGCTCTGCGCTGGCTCAGTGATGGCCTGTTGTGTGGGGACAGGCAGGTTGTGGTGAAAAAGGCCATTGTTTCCTCCACCCTGTCCCTCCCTGGAGCTATGGCAACAAATTCCGTTGGTGAATTAACTATGTTATTGTGTGTCGGCTCAACTGATTATGCTCCTGGAATGACAAACATTTTGGCTCTTTTTTTCAGGGTAAAAAGTGGTCAAGACCTTGAAGTGTTATAAGTGGTCAAGACCTTGAAGTGTTATAAGTGGTCAAGACCTTGAAGTGTTAATCTACAACTCAGCACTTTCTTTAGGTGTGAGAATAAAGATAGAGAAAATAAATCTCTCAAAGGGACTTTGATTCTAATAAACATTTTATCTTTTTCAAGTATTCTAAACACCATTGGAAGTGAATTTGTGCATTTTAACAATGTGGAGTCTTCACAATTTTGTTACATTCATTCCCCCTGAGATAAAAGAACAATAGTGTTCTTATGTATGCTTGGGGCTTTCTCTGAAAAAAATATTTTAAAAACATTTGGCTGCAGCAAAGTGCCATGGGAACTTTGGAGGCTGTTAACATGAGTATCATAACCCAGTTCAGAAAAACTGCTGTCCTTCTAAATTCTCCTAGGGCTTCCAGTGGTTAAGACTCTGTCCTTCTACTGCAGGGGGCATGGGTTCAGTCCCTGATCAGGGAAACTAAGATCCCACATGTTGTGTGGCACAGCCTAAATAAATAAATTAAAATTAAAATAAATCCACCTGAGGCATGTAAAGATTTCCTATGTCCCATCCTAGCAGGAAAAGTCTTAATCACTTTCTTTTATATTTCATCTTCCAGATGATAAAACTTGCTCTGATCAGTAGAAGGATGTTTCCAGGGTTTCCATCTGTCCATCCATCCATCCATCCTGTACTTTCTCTCATCAGGTTCAGAGCTGGTTGTTGGGGAACTCTGTCAGTGAATTTGTGGCTGGTTTCCTAGCATGGTTGTATGGAGTGTGCTGACTCAGTGAGCTGCAATCACATTTCCAAGGATCCCATTCCCTTAGTTTTGAGTTAGAGCTGGCCCAAAGAGGAATTTGCCTAAGATTTGGAAGGCACAATCTTCCAAAGAGAGTGAAGAGAGTGGTTGGGTGTGTTGACAGAGGGGGAGGTGACAGTGAGTCACAGCCTGTCCTCATTCTCTTCACTCTGTGTGCAGATCTTCTTCCCAACTGCTGACACTGTTGATTAACCGCAGCCCAGGGCCCACTCTCAGAGGTGTGTGCAGCACCACAGGGCTTCTCAAAGCTTCTCCTGGGCTTCCTCCTTCACTTTGGCAGCTAGATATGCTGGGCTTCTGACTGCCAGGTGTGTGTCCTCTCTCATCCTCTAACCCCCGGACCTGTGCGGAGTCTTTGAAGCCCCAGACGCTCAGAGAAAAGGATGATCTTGGGGAAGCAAACTGTGTCAGCTCTATCACAGAAGACACACACCTGAATTTGGGGGACAAGTATCCTCGTGGTCCGGAAAATGTTGTATGCCAGGAGATGGGCAACTGGGCCTCAGCTTCAGAGCTCGTGAAATCACCCTCCTTTTGCATGAATTCCCCAGCAGCATTGTTTACCTTCTAGTACCTCACCAGTGGGCAGGGTATGCCCTGGCTCATGGCCTTGGGTGCCATGTTTAAGGGGGCCCTACTCTGGCTCTCCTCCTCCTCGGAGTCCATGTGGTCATGGAGATAGAGTACATGCCTTGGGACCCGCACTCCCCTTCTAGAACACCCTGGAGTTCTCTGCCAAAATGTCCTCAGCCTGTTTTCAAGGCATGTGCTGCATATCCCTGGGGATGGCGGGAGGTGGGAGGGAGGGTTAGTCAAGCTTTTAGCAAGAAAACGTGAACAGAATCTGGATATCTGGGCTGGCTCCACCTTGTAGTGTGGTACAGAGGAGGAAACTCTGGCTGCCCCCAGCCATAGAAGCCTGGTGGGCTACAGTCCACGGGGTGGCAAAGAGTCAGACACAGAGTGACTAAACACACACACACACACACACACACACACACTCTGTTAGCCTATATTAAGATATATACTATATGGGCTTCCATTTATATTCCTGTCCTGACCCCACAAATATTAAAGCAGGCACAGCTAGAGGTATTCTAAATCTAGAATCTAGAATTCTAAATTCTAGAATCTAAATTCTAAATTTAAATCTAGAAATTAACGAATTCATTAGCATTTTCTGGTTATTTTGCTTACAGTTAATTATAGGTAGCTTGTTATCAAAAGTCTTGATCCTCTCTGAATCTATGAACAATATGATTTTCTGAATCTAAGTGGCTGAGAGTTAGATTCCGGACTGACATGAAATAATTTGCTTCACCTAGCATAGTTCTAGGTATATGCTAGTAGTTGCTTTGAAAACAATTGTTAAATGAATGAAGAGCAACTGAATATCTACACGCAAAAATGAACCTTTATTCTTATCTCACACCATATACAAAAATTAACCATGAAATGGATCATAGACCTGGATTTCTAGAATAAAACCTAGGACCGAATCTTTGTGACCTTGGTTTAAGCAGAGATTTCTTAGATAGGACACAAAGCATGAACCATAAAGGAAAAAAAAATGGATACATTCAGTTCAGTTCAGTCACTCAGTCGTGTCTGACTCTTTGTGACCCCATGGACTGCAGCACACCAGGCCTCCCCGTCCATTACCAATTCCCGGAGTTTACCCAAACTCATGTCCATTGAGTCAGTGATGCCATCCAACCATCTCACCCTCTGTCATCCCCTTCTCCTACCACCTTCAATCTTTCCCAGCATCAGGGTCTTTTCCAATGAGTCAGTTCTTCGCATCAGGTTGCCAAAATATTGGATTTCAGTTTGAACATCAGTCCTTCCAATAAACACTCAGGACTGATCTCCTTTAGGATGGACTGGTTGGATCTCCTTGCAGTTCAAGGGACTCTCAAGAGTCTTCTCCAACACCATAGTTCAAAATCATCAATTCTTTGGTACTCAGCTTTCTTTATAGTCCAACTCTCACTTTCACACATGACTATTGGAAAAACCATAGCTTTGACTAGATGGACCCTTGTTGGCAAAGTAATGTCTCTGCTTTTTAACATGCTGTCTAGGTTGGTCATAACTTTCCTTCCAAGGAGCAAGCATCTTTTAATTTCATGGCTGCAATCATCATCTGCAGTGATTTTGGAGCCCCCCAAAAATAAATTCAGCCACTGTTTCCTCATCTATTTGCCATGAAGTGATGGGACCAGATGCCATGATATTAGTTTTCTGAATGTTGAGCTTTAAGCCAACTTTTTCAATCTCCTGTTTTTTCTTGGATACATTGAATTACATCAAAAATAAAGAACTTTTACTTCAATAAATTTTTTTTGAAGTTAAAAAATAAAAGCCTTCTGATCTTTAAAATTAAGGAAACAAAAAGTCATAGACTGAGAGAAAATATTTGTCAAGCACATATTTATAAAGGACTTTTATTTTGGATATATAAAAATTCTTATAATTTAATAATTGGACAAGTAACTTAGTTTTTAAAAAATGGGCAACAGACTTGAACAAATAATTCATCAAAGAATGTAGACAAGAGGTGACCAGGTGACTTCTCATTTCTGCTTTTGCTTTTACAGTGCATGGACACTGTCACTACCATCCTTACATCAAGAAAAATGTGGATGAATCAGTGACTTTTCTTAGACAAGAAAATTCTCAAAAAGAATTGGGAAAATGGCAAAACATCATCTCTGAAGCTGGAAACATAGGCACATAGCAAAACATCATCTCTGAAGCTGGAAACATAGGCACATATGGAGAAACACAGGTGAGAACTGCTTCAGTTCAGTTCAGTTCAGTTCAGTCACTCAGTCATGTCCGACTCTTTGCGACCCCATGAATCACAGCACACCAGGCCTCCTTGTCCATCACCAACTCCTGAAGTTTACCCAAACTCATGTCCATCGAGTTGGTGATGCCATCCAGCCATCTCATCCTCTGTCGTCCCCTTCTCCTCCTGCCCCCAATCCCTCCCAGCATCAGGGTCTTTTCCAATGAGTCAACTCTTCGCANAAGAGGCTCTTTAGTTCTTCTTCACTTTCTGCCATAAGGGTGGTGTCATCTGCATATCTGAGGTTATTGCTGTTTCTCCCAGAAATCTTGACTCCAGATTATGCTTCCTCCAACCCAGCGTTTCTTATGATGTACTCTGCGTATAAGTTAAATAAGCAGGATGACAATATACAGCCTTGACGTACTCCTTTTCCTATCTGGAACCAGTCTGTTGTTCCATGCCCAGGTCTTACTGTTGCTTACTGACCTGCATACAGATTTCTCAAGAGGCAGGTCAGGTGGTCTGGTATTCCCATCTCTTTCAGAATTTTCCACAGTTTATTGTTATCCAGAGAGTCAAAGGCTTTGGCATAGTCAATAAATTAGAAATCTGCTTACCTGAAACTATAATCTGGTGGGAACATTTAAATGCCAATTTTGAACAGCTGGAGGCTGAGTATGGACTAGAGTGAAATTAAGAAATCCCTAGAGTGAGGACCGCACAATTTTGTGGACTTTTTCTCTAGGAACCCCACCAGATTGTCACCTTGAGGATCTGAGAAAAATGCCCTGGGGGCTGTGGAAAGGGAAAGAGGAAGAGTAACCATGAGGAAATCCTTCCAGAACCTTCTCTGTCACAAAGGCCTACTCTCTAGAGAAAAGACTGTCAGAGATCAAGACTTTGTCAAAGGGCAACTCTAAAACATTATCCTAGCTTGGGGAAGGGAATTTCAGCTCTCTCTGGTGTTCTCTTCTCTTTCACATGAGGAAAAATAAAAATTACCAGAGTCAACAAGGGAAAAGACTTGGAGGACATAGATTGCAACTGTTGTAGTTAAAGACAGGAGTACGAGAACCACATCATGATACCAGTAGGAGAAAAAAGAGAAAACAGGCAGAAGAAATATCTGAAGTGACAGTGGCCAAGAACTTTCCAAATAATGTATCATTACTATGACAAAAAGAAAACCACAGACCCAGGAAGGTTAGAAAATACCAAACAGGATAAATACCAAAACAAACTAAAAAACCAACACCTAGGAACATCATATTCAAACTGTAACAAGCAAACAACCCCCCTTAAAAAAAAACCCAACTC